TTTTTAATTCTGCTTTAAAGTGAATTTAAAGGAAGAATGTGCAACTTTTTGATCCAGTAGATGTCGCCCTTGAGCTCCAGCATGAAACCAAAACAAACTGCTGTTAGGCCACGCCTCCTTCATCCGCTCTCCTCCAGAGACACACCTCCAACCTCCCTCTCTACACTCACGTTTGCACAAACGAGATATCAGATTGGAACGCACATTAATTAAGAGCTAAGCGCTAAGTGCTACAGCAATATTGTCCTTGTCTCGAGCCGCATTGTTGTGTTAGCATGCTAACATTAGCGCTCTTTAGTTAGCTCGTAGCTTCACATTGTTGTGTTAGCATGCTAATGTTAGCGCTCTTTAGTTAGCTCGTAGCTTAGCATTTCATGTAAACTGACACAGAATGAGCGTGATCTAAAAACTCTTACTAACATCCAAATAATCAGTGAGTATGTTCTTCTTCTTCTCTCTAGTTCTTGACTAAAACAGCTTTTATACACAAGGGGAGGAGCCGGCCGTCCCGTCCATGTAAACACGGCTCTGACAACAACACAGCCAGCGGGACTCGAGCTTCTCCCTCATTGTAGACAGTCATGACTCAGAGAAACATTTACACAGGGCAGACTGGAGCAGCGTCAGACGGCTCAGAGAATGAGCTGACGGTGCAGCCGGCACGTCGCCAAGTCTCCGTCCACATGTGGAGAGAGTTGACAATTCAAAAACTTTATTTATAAAAGTTAAAGACAGTGAGCAGTCAAATCCAGGAAACTTGAGCTGAGTGCAAATATATTTCTAACCAGAGCAAAAGGGAAAGTGATATTATATTGATGATTTTTCCAGAAAAACTTGATCAAATTAAGAAGTTGACAGACGGAGTGAAGGGCATCTGCACACTTCAGTGAAGTAAATATCTCAATGCATCTGCAGTAGTTACATTATTGGCATCAACTTTCCTGCTTTGTCACGCCCCCTCCCTCCCTCCCTCCCTCCTCCTCACCCCGAGTCCCGTCCCACTTCAGCATTCAAATCTAGAAAACCTGCAGCTCTGTCACGACTACAAGCACACTCACGCTCAAACCAGTCGTCTGTCTCTCGTTTGTCGAGCAGCAAACTTTAATTTGAAAATATTAACACTTAATTATGAATTGAAAATATCCTGCAGCTGCATTACAAACCTCGATTGTGACATTCTGACATAACGTAGAAGTGTTACAAAAGTCCTGAAACATGTTGGTAATTCTTGCTGTCAAAGAAGCTGCAGCCTGAATGCATGCCTACTCAGTCAGCCCCCCCCCCCGAGAAGAGAGAAGTACAGTCAGTCAGTGGATCATCTGAACAATGCTCTTAACTATTCTACTGTTACTGCAGCAAAAAAAAGAGAAAAGAAGCCACCACAGGCCTGCATTTGCATGACAAACGGGACATTAGTGCAGGGGCGCGAGGGCCGGCCGGGACTGAGGGGGGGGACACGAGCTGGGAGGGTCGCACGCTGCAGCTATCAGCATATCCAACATTCACAATACAGCATACAGTGCACAATGGAGTTAAACTGTACGTTTGACAGTGTGCACAGGACGACTTCACTTCAGTGTCAAATGAAATGAGACGAGAGAGGAAACAGCAGCAGGGTGAATAACTTAGTCTGGAAAGATATCAACACTAGTCAAGGACACGGTGCTTATTTTAGCTTTGCATATTTGTGCTCATTTCCTCCAGTAGTTTTTACTCTGAGTAACACAACACTTTAATGTTTAATGATCTGTGAGGAGCTCATCAAACACATGCAACAAGCATAAATACTGTAGGAGATAAAATGTCCTTTCATGTTCATAATCATGTTTGTCTCGTTCTCCTGTCACATTTTTCCTGATTTAATAAAAAAATTATCTAATTTTGTAACTTAGACAACCGTTCTGTGACGCTTTAGGTGTTTGGACTCCGTTTAAATGAGTGTTACAATCTGAAAAGAGTGCACAGGAACGTCTTTAAACATCTCGTCCAGTGCTGCTAATCCTCACATACGAGACGCTTTAATTGACAAATGACTTCAGTGAGTTTCTGCAGCTAGCTGACGATCATCTCTATGAAATGTTCGGTCTGTAAAGAGACACAAACTGTGAAAAATATCCGTCACACTTTTCCCAAAGGGCCGACGTTAAGTCATGTTGTGTTCAGCCAGCAGTCCAAAACAGAAAAAAAACATTAAAATCACAGAAACAGCAGAAACATAAAGTTCTCTCACTCTGGTGGAACTTTTCAAAATAAAAGATTTTTTTTATAAATTACCGTATATTAAACCAACTTGTCTTTGCAGCATCATTTCTCTCAACACGTTTGAGGAGCCATGCTGTCATCAATACAAGTGACTGACAGGTAGCACCGATATGTTCCTGTTTGTTTTGAAAAACAAGAACAAACTAAACAAACTAAAGCAAACACAGAAGAACAAACAAATGCAAAATACTAAAAATAATTAAATACAATTCAACAGAAAAGAACCCAAAGTGCACGATACCCAACAGACATATAGAACCTGACCATCACAAGAACCATCATAAGAACCATCCCAAGAACCATCACAAGAACCATCACAAGAATCACAAGAACCATCACAAGAACCATCACAAGAACCATCCCAAGAACCATCACAAGAACCATCACAAGAACCATCATAAGGACCATCACAAGAACCATCATAAGAACCCAGGCAACACAAGAACCATCACAAGAACCATCACAAGAACCATCACAAGAAACATCACGAGAACCATCACGAGACCCATCATAAGGACCATCACAAGAAACATCACAAGAACCATCATAAGGACCATCATAAGGACCATCATAAGAACCATCATAAGAACCCAGGCAACACAAGAACCATCATAAGGACCATCACAAGAACCATCATAAGAACCCAGGCAACACAAGAACCATCACAAGAACCATCACAAGAAACATCACGAGAACCATCACAAGAACCATCACAAGAACCATCATAAGAACCATCATAAGGACCATCATAAGAACCATCATAAGGACCATCATAAGGACCATCACAAGAACCATCACAAGAAACATCACAAGAACCATCACAAGAAACATCACAAGAACCATCATAAGAACCATCATAAGGACCATCATAAGAACCATCATAAGGACCATCATAAGGACCATCACAAGAACCATCATAAGGACCATCATAAGAACCATCATAAGGACCATCATAAGAACCATCATAAGAACCATCATAAGGACCATCATAAGAACCATCATAAGGACCATCATAAGAACCATCATAAGAACCATCATAAGAACCATCATAAGAACCATCACAAGAAACATCATAAGAACCATCACAAGAACCATCATAAGAACCATCACAAGAACCATCATAAGAACCATCACAAGAACCATCACAAGAACCATCACAAGAAACATCATAAGGACCATCAGGCAAAACTTCAACAAATCGCTCATCAAGCAATCGATTCATTGGTGTGACGGTTTATCTGAGAGTGGGCCATTTCCTGTACTATACATCAATGGATGACACCATGAAACCCACTTCTGCTCTCAGGAAAGTCCCAAACCGACTCATTCATCCACAAACAAAAAAAAAAGCAACTGCATTATTCATCACAAGATGAAGCGGCTGCAACAAGACAGTTCCTGTGTAGGAGGGCGGACGATTGACTGAAGCACGAAACAGTGTGAGGCTCTGACCATCAGGGGTTCTCTCTCTCTACCTGCTTCGTCTTGCTCTTCTTCCTGACTATGTGTGTGTGTGTGTGTGTGTGTGTGTGTGTGTGTGTGTGTGTGTGTGTGTGTGTGTGTGTGTGTGTGTGTGTGTGTGTTCTGCATGTTGTGCAATACACCAGCCTCACTTTGGACTTCTTGGAAAACAGGGTAATGGGAGGAAAGAGGCCTGAGCTGCCTGAGCTGCAGCTGTTTTTTTTCACTGCCCGATGATGCATTCACTGCCCTGATGATGCATTCACTGCCCTGATGATGCATTCACTGCCCGATGATGCATTCAGTACCCTGATGATGCATTCACTGCCCTGATGATGCATTCACTGCCCCGATGATGCATTCACTGATGAACTTGCAGAGCTGTCAGGCTGCAGGCACGGCCCTGCACGGCTCTTGTTGTTGCTGCTCTGTGATAAGTTGTGGGGTCGAAGTGCGGCATGCATGTGTTTGTATACATCAGTAAACACACACACACACACACACACACACACACACACACACACACACACACACACACACACACACACACCACACACACACACACACACACACACACACACACACACACACACACACACACACACACACACACACACACACACACACACACACACACACACCAGGTGATTGGACAGAAGCAGTGAGCTGACAGAGTGGGACTTCTTGCTTATGGAGTTGTTTTGTAACTGCCTGAACAAGTGCCTGTTCCTGAACGCACCACCACCACTTTAACGCTCACAACTAATTCTATTAATAGAGTTCCATTTTCTACCTCACAGGCAGAAAAACCTGGAGCCAATAAAACACTCCAACTCGACTCCTGACAGCTGCAGGGTTGTCACGTCACTTCTGCGCCTAACCCACGCATGTTGTGGCACCGCACGCGACCTGCTTTTTTTCCGTTATTTACCTTGAGCAATGTGCACGAGCCATGCATTAAACTCGTGCGGAGTTTATTCTAAAAGAGTTGCAGTGTCCTTGTCTGTCTATCTCGTGACTGTTAAAGGCGCCCCTGTGCTCCACATCCCTGCCAGTGCGCCGCTAACAGCGTCAATCTGAGTGAGTACACACAGCATCGTCTTACCAGGAACTGTGCAAAGGGGAAGATCTGTAACAGGAAATGCAACTGACCCCTTTTAAAACCATGTAACTTTAAAATGCACCGGCCGTGTTGGAGCTGCAGCGGTGCATGTTGCAGGGCGTGCAGCACTGATTGCATGTCGCTAGTTTTGCACGGATCGGTGTGATATTCTTACCTCCCTTTGGCTGAGACATTTCCCCTTTGCTTTGATGAGGGGGAGGGGAAGCACAAAAGACTTTGCCTTCTTTCTCACTCCCTCCCTCCATCGCCCTCGCAGCAGCACTGGAGCTTCAGCGGCTTTGCTTTTTTTTTTTTTTGCAACAAAGATGCACAAATACAAGCCTCGATCTTCATGCACTTGGAGCCTTTTCGAGTCCGGAGCGCGCGCGTCCGTGCACGGGGCGCCGCTGCGAATGCACAGCCCCCCGCGTGCGTCGGGAAATCAGGTAAATTTGCAAATTTGCACTGCAAGGAATTCTCCGCAGCAGTTACATGATGGGCCAAGGCTGGCAGCTGAAAGCTCCTAACTTGGATCAGTGTGAGCCCCTGCGAGAGAACGTTCTTCCTGCTTGGCGCGCAAAGGATTCTGGGAAACGTAGTGCAGAAGTACAGCGGTCACAAATAGACTTGCATGTAAGTTGTGTTTGGTTTATTTTAACGAGCTCTTACATTCGTGCAGATGTAGAGTGTGCTGTGCAGAGGTGAAACACTTATTGTTCAAGGAACTTTTTTTTTTAAAGTATCGTTTGACCTAAATATTATACAAGACTATATCATTAAATGAACAACAGTAGTATCGTTTTTACCAGGATTAGTTTGTAATTTGAACATTGCATCAGATTGGATTAGGTAAAGTACTGATTACAATGAGAATAATTTTACTTAAAGCACATTAAGGCAAACTTAATTGAGTAACAGACTACACAGTGTTATCTCAAAGTGTTTTTAGCTTCTCTTCAGTTACTTTATGGTATGGTCACATGACCAACTTTACTTCCATAATTTAGTTCAATTAAACCACAAATGAAGCCTTCAGATCAAAACGAGGAACTCTGAGCTAGGTATTGTTATGCGTAGATTTGAGGAAGTAGGTCACAGGTTTCCTTACTCATCAGGAGCTACTGACTGCACCTGTGATGTTCTCCGTCAGCTGATGTGGGAGGCTCTAAAGGGAGGTTGGGGTTCCCCTGCTCAGGTCAGTGTGTGTCTCCAGAGAGTCACCACCATGAGTTGGCGTTTTGTGTTTTTCTTTATGAATGAAATCTCAGTTTTGTGTTTGTTTTGAAAAATAGATTTCTCTTTCTGCCATTTCTGACTCCTTCCATTAAGATTCTGTTTAGTTTGGGCTCCAGTTTATTTAATTCTGATAGAAACACCGGGTGGTTAATGAGGGCTAATGGTGCATTCATGTGGTGTCGGACACATCGGAAAAATAATATTCTAAGTTGTAAAACGCAAAATTAGCCCATGTTTAAGTCGGAGCAACAACTGGAAAAGAATAGGACCCCGACTTGCCATGGAGGGCGAAATATGTTTTGTTGAAGTTAAGATACTCTTGATTAATTCTCGTTTTGCATATCAACATTTGGCTCAAATATAACTCGTAACAGAGACATTCACACATCTTCTTTGCATGCACGCTGATTTCCGTCTTTCCAAACTGAAATCTGAAGAACGATTTACCAACTCAGAAAGCACCTGAATGCACCATATGTTCTTCTGCCACCTCTAAGAACCAAATTCCCACTTATTGGTACCTCCCTTTTGTAACCAGTGCAGTTTTTATTAGTTCTTCAACTCGTGACCCCACTCATTCAGATTCTGTTTTCTGTGGGGAACATAACAGTGTGTGTGTGTGTGTGTGTGTGTGTGTGTGTGTGTGTGTGTGTGAAAGGACACACAGTCATGACTTTTGAAAATGTATTAAAAAGCTTTATTATGAGTAACATTGATAAACAGTGAATCTAGTTAACATCAATCACATCAGAAGACTACCGACGAGACACCCCGACATCTACAGTTGTTGGGCGTATTTTTATGGTTTTGATGACGAGAACATTTAAAGAAAAAGGTTTTTAACCTGAAAATCAACAGGATGAACGTTTGGTGGCTGATCTGATTTAACGATGGAGGTAAAATGTCTTTAAGGTCACAATTGGGCACAATTTGGTTGAAAAGATTTTTATTCTATCTGAGGCTGAGAACACACATTTTAACTCTGATTTTGGGCCCTCCCCCTCCCCCATGATCAGGGGGCGTGGCCTAATTCTAGGCTTATCGGATCCCGTCATTTCTCCAAATAATGTGTGGTGTCACTATACAAATACTTTACTGGAGCCTCCCCGATCTGGAATCGTGAATACCAAACTGGTTTGACTTTTACAAATCCCGATCAGAATACCGGTAGCCAATCAGAGCGAGTGAGCGGCCGGGGAGGCGTCACTAACAGGAAGTTGCCTTTTATTACAGTTTACAAACATAAACGCAACTGAGCCCAGAGCCAAGTGGAATATTGACAAACGAGAGCAGGAGTTGTTTTTATTCTAAGTCACGTTCAAAGTCTCGCGAGTTTCTGTGAGATCTCAGGTCAGTGAGGTCTCGGGTCAGTCAGATCTCATGTCTGTGAGATCTCGTTTGTCAGTGAGATCTCGTGTCAGTGAGATCTCGTGTGTCTGTGAGATCTCGTGTCTGTAAGATCTCGTGTCTGTAAGATCTCGTGTCTGTGAGATCTCGTGTCAGTGAGATCTCGTGTGTCTGTGAGATCTCGTGTCTGTAAGATCTCATGTCTGTGGGATCTCTTGTCAGTAAGATCTCGTGTCATTGAGATCTCGTGTCTGTGAGATCTCGTGTCTGTGAGATCTCGTGTCAGTGAGATCTCGTGTCTGTGAGATCTCGGGTCAGTGAGATCTCGTGTCTGTGAGATCTCTTGTCAGTAAGATCTCGTGTCAGTAAGATCTCGTGTGTCTGTGAGATCTCGTGTCAGTAAGATCTCGTGTCTGTGAGATCTCGTGTCTGTGAGATCTCGTGTCAGTGAGATCTCGTGTCAGTAAGATCTCGTGTCTGTAAGATCTCGTGTCTGTGAGATCTCGTGTCTGTAAGATCTCGTGTCAGTAAGATCTCGTGTCAGTGAGATCTCGTGTCTGTAAGATCTCGTGTCTGTAAGATCTCGTGTCAGTAAGATCTCGTGTCAGTGAGATCTCGTGTCAGTAAGATCTCGTGTCTGTGAGATCTCGGGTCAGTAAGATCTCGTGTCAGTGAGATCTCGTGTCTGTAAGATCTCGTGTCTGTAAGATCTCGTGTCTGTAAGATCTCGTGTCAGTAAGATCTCGTGTCAGTGAGATCTCGTGTCAGTAAGATCTCGTGTCTGTGAGATCTCGGGTCAGTAAGATCTCGTGTCAGTGAGATCTCGTGTCTGTAAGATCTCGTGTCTGTGAGATCTCGTGTCTGTAAGATCTCGTGTCTGTGAGATCTCGGGTCAGTAAGATCTTGTGTCAGTGAGATCTCGTGTCTGTAAGATCTCGTGTCTGTAAGATCTCGTGTCAGTAAGATCTCGTGTCAGTGAGATCTCGGGTCAGTAAGATCTCGTGTCAGTGAGATCTCGTGTGTCTGTGAGATCTCGTGTCTGTGAGATCTCGGGTCAGTGAGATCTCGTTTGTCTGTGACACAGTCTCTCCACTGTGACATCGTTAATTCAAACGGCAGGCGGTGATGAATGACTTCTGTAACTCCTGATACTCCTGGTAAATAATGAAACGTAAGGGGGATAATGTAATAGCACCAATTTTTATACCAAACAAAGACAATGTGGCATGAAGAAAACCGCTAGAGTCTACATTTTTATTTTCTTATAATAGAAAGACCAACACCAACATCCTGTCTGTGTCTTTAAGCTCCAAGCCTCATTGGTTCCTCCTGAGGAAACACATCTTTAAAGCAGCTGAAGCATAATTTTCAAAACTAAGAAAATACTATTAAATATGTGGGACATTTAGTTTTTAGCAAACTTTACTCAAAGAGGAGGAAGTCGTGCATTTTTAAGCATCAGCTGCCGATTAATCGATATTTGAGGCGTTGTTGGTTCGGGTTCTTTCATTGGTTAAAACATAAGAACAGAATATAAAAGCACCAGTTCAGTTCTTTAAAAGACAGATTTACACTCGGAGCATGATTTAAGTTGCCCAATAAATACAACATGTACGGATGAGACAGAAACGATCCAAACATCACACTACGACTCGATGGGGGGGATCAGATCGGCGTCCTCGTGCGGAGATATTAGCAAGATGTCGCTGCAGCGGGTCGGGTTGTGTGTGGTGAGGTACCGGTGGCTCTGAGAGGGAGGGGTCGGAGGGCGGTCAGTTCTTGGTGGCGATGAGGGTTTGGTACAGCGGCTTCACTATGATGTGCAGGTAGAGGGAGCTGTCAATGAGGTACTCGGACGTCCGGCGGTAGAGGTCGGCCTCGGCCAAGAAGTCTCCGTTCTCCTCCGTGCTCTGGTGGAAGTTGTAGACGTGCCTCACCACCGTCTTCCCTTGCTGCTGAGCCATCACGAGCACCGTCTTCTGGAAGTTCACCCCGGCGAAATCCGCGCTGGACGTGGCCGGCGTGATGATGATGCGAGGGCGCCCTCCTTCCACGCGTGTCGGCTGCATGGCGCCGGTCTCCGTGTACATGGACCTCATGGTGAGGGGGAGCCAGCGCGGCGAGAACAAGGCATTCCAGGTCACCCTCTTGCTGGAGTCGTGCCCGCTCGGCCCCAGCTGCGTCTGGAAGCTGGTGCTGCGGTCGTCTCGCGTCGGGTTGTTGATGACCCAGGGCGACCCCCACACCGGCGACAGGTAGTTCCTGGGCATGAAGAGGCTGCAGTTCACGTCAAAGAACTTGGCCATGCTGAGCGGCGACGCCGAGTGAAACTGGTAGGACATGTACAGCAGGTCGCGCACCGACTCCTGATAGCGCGCAAGAACTGAGGACTGCGTCTGCAGACGGAAGAGCTCCCTTGGCGGCATCATGGCGTAGCGCACAGCCCTCAAAGCGTTCTCGGCGGTCAGACCGTCGGGCTCGTTCTCGATAATCCACGCCTCGAGAGCCGCAAACAGCTCCATCTCGCTCTGCAGGATGAGGTCGGAGCGCTGCAGCAGGGACATGAGAAGCTGGCTGCTGACGGTCAACCACTCGCCACTCTGCAGCACCGACGACAGGTTCCACGCCATGTACTGCAGGCAGCTGTCCCTCAGGGTCAGGTCCCCGGCCTGCAGGGCGTACTCGTACCAGCCCGCCACGTGGCCCGAGGGCGAGTCCCGGGCCAGGTTCTGGGTCATGTACTGGGTGATGCCCTGCTGGAGACCCGTCACCTGGTACTTAGTGGACAGCTTGTGTAAAGCTGTGGCCTGGTCCAGACGTAGAGAAAGTTCTCCACAGTACAGATACCTGCTCAGACAGATGGAGAGGAACTTCAGTTTAAACATACAAATCAAAAGTGTGATCAGATGTTTTACTCAACTGTAGAGCGAGAATCTAAGGACTACAGTAAATTACCGTAAATAATGCCAATAACAGTTGGT